CCCCAAAACCCCAAAACCCCAAAACCCCAAAACCCCAGAGCATAAATTCGTTATTTGTAATATGAATTATATTTAAATTTATTATGGAGCAAGAATCTAGCCAAGCTACTAACGAGCCAGAGGATGGTTATCAGAATCAAGAGAATTCTAAGCATATTGAAGAAAAAAAATCAGAAGAAATTAAATACTCTTCAGTAGCCATCAAGCCAGTCAAAAGTAATAAAATGTCAGCTCTCTCAAGGATCAAGACAATACAGGAAAATGATTGGAAAACTTGGAAAGGGCCAGATGCTAAACATTCAGGAAGACCTGGAACAGCAGGTTTGATAAAATCTAGGTAGAAGAAAGGAACCAAAGGCTCAGCAAGTAGATGATGATGCTAGGTTCAAAAATCTACTTAAAATTATTCAAAGGATGCAAGCCTTGGATGATGATACGGTAATGCAAGCTATCGGTAAGTATTTATCTCTCTATTCTAATCCTAAATTTTCTATTCTAGTAAAAAATTGCACAAACTTTTTTGGAGAACTTATAAAAATTTAAATTGCTGAAATAAATCTTTAAATTACTAAAGTATAAAACTCTCTCACAAATTTGAATTGAAATTTTCATCAGTCCTGCTCTATCTGAACTTTCATTCTTAGAAAAGAAATCAAAGATTTTTATAGTAAAAGACGAGAAGATGGGGCATAAATCACAGAATACTACTGCTAAGCCGTATAAAGATAGCCTCAATTTTAAGGTTATTAAGGAGACACAATTGGTTTCAAATTCTCTATCTGGTCCCAGTTATGCAAAATCGTATCATTGAGAGTCAACAGAGTTGATTTATAAACTACTCAAATGTGAAGCAAAGCTGGTCAGGTCAGTTCTAGAAGCAAATGGATTCAGGAATACAGAGTCACATGACTGGAACATCCTATGGATGAACTCTAGCGCTAACTCATACGTTTATGAAGGGCTCAATGAGTATCAGAAGATTAATCACTTCCCATGAAGTTATGAAATTACCAGAAAGGATAACTTGTGAGAAAATGTTGTAGATATGCAAGAGAAGTTTGGACATGAAGCTTTTAATATTATCCCTGATTCCTATGTTCTCCCAGATGAATGGGTAGATTTCAATGTTCATTATAATGAACTAAAGAAAGATGCGCCATATAAAAATTTATGGATCTGTAAGCCAAGTAGTTCTTGCCAGGGTAAAGGAATTTATATCACAGACAATATTCATGATATTAGTAGAGTTGATAAGTGAGTAATAGGAAGATATATTCATAATCCTCTACTAATAAACTCACATAAATTTGATCTCAGAGTATATGTGCTTATCACAAGCTTCGAACCCCTCCGAGTCTATGTCTTCCAAGAAGGACTCACAAGATTTGCCAGTGAACCTTATTCAAGCGGAACCAAGTTCAACAAGTTCTCCCACCTCACAAATTACAGCATCAACAAGAAAAATGCTAACTTCGTACAGAATGTTGATCTCGAACACGATGACTTTGGGTTCAAATGGAGTCTGGCTGCATTGTGTGGCCATCTCGAACAAATCGGAATTGACATGGACTTGCTCTGGTCCAAAATCTATGATCTCATCATCAAAGCCATCATCAGTGCTGAAGATAAAATCATTGCTGGCATGAACAAGCACTGCAACCACAAGTCGAACTGCTTCGAGATCTTGGGCTTCGACGTTCTCATCGATTCGGAGCTGAGGCCTTGGCTGCTCGAAGCCAACTTGTCTCCGTCTCTGTCATCAGACTCTCCCCTCGACTTCAAGATCAAGTCGAACCTGGTTACTGACGCCTTCAACATCATCGGGTTCAAGAAATATGACAGAAGGAAAGAATCTGTCAACAAAATCAAACACAGAATGAAAGGCTTATATGCACGAGGCAAAAGCATGAAGAACAGATACGGAGGCAACAACTTCAGCTACAGTTACAAAGACAAAGGCAGCATGAAGTCTTTCACACAGAATCCTAAGAACATCGATGTGGACTCTGAGCTTTCTCGATATTTACAATCTGACACAACTCTGGCAAGACACAGCAGAGTCATCAAGAAACTGATTCCACTGAAATTCAAAGAAATGCTCAAGCAGACACTCGAAGAAGACTCACGCAGAAGCAACTTCATTCGGATCTACCCAGCCAAAGGCACTGATGTATACGACAAGTACTTCAAAGGAGTCAGGCCGTACAACGTGTTTCTGTACAAGTGTTTGTACACTGATGAAATCATTCCAAACGGATTCAATGAGTCCACCAAAGAAGCTCCCAGACTCACTGCTGACGACTCTAAACACAAAATTGAACACCTAAATAGTCTCAGTGAAGCCCAAGTTGTTCAGAAACAGAAGAGTTCCACTCAAAAAGCTGAGAGGCCTCAGACTGTCAAAGTTGGAGCCAAGTCTTCTTTGCAAAGTTCGAGCCCTAAAGAGAAGGTTATTATTACTGGAGACGATGTATTGATAGAGTATGTAAGCAGACTGATCGGGGCGCTATCAGTGATCTCAGAAGCGAACTTGACCACTGACATCAGACTTGGGATTGACAAGTTTATTCTTCATTACGTGTGGCACTCCAAAGACCCAGCAAGTCAAGATCCCACTTGTTCACTCAAACGAAGACTCGAAACCAGGTACGAAGAAATGAGACAGAGAAGACGCAGACTTGTCAAAAGCATTTACAAGAGAGAGGGCAAACTCGACATATTCGAGCAAAGTTACAAGAAAATGGCCCAGACCAAGATGAAGGTTCTGCAGAACTTCAACGGAGCCAAGCTTGAGGAAATGCTCAAGACTTCGACCAAGAATGTGGCACAAGAAGTCGTGTCGATACTTCTGAAACACTCTAGCAGACTCTCGTACGGGATCTTGCCAGACATCGAAAAGTGATTTGGTTTAGGATCCAACGCAAGGTCTAAGACGCTGATGAGCAAGTCTGCATCATCAAAGATTGAACAACAAGACTGTGGTGAAGATGATGACAGGGATGATGAAGAAGTCCCACACAACAACAACAAAATTTTGGCATCATCAAATGTATCCAATGCTGCTAATGCATCAAGCATCAACAAGTTCAGCAGCATTAGTGATTTCAACAAGAAGCTAGTGAAGCAGCCTCCACAGGTCCCGCCTACTGTCAACTACAACAACTATTTCAACCACGGCAAGTATCGGTATTCGTCTAAGAGCAGAGTAAGCTCAGCATCTGGCTCAATGAGTTCGACCCACAAGAACCACATTACCAGACTCAAGACTGCAAGCGGAAGTACCATGAGCGCTACTAGAAAGCCTAAAGACACCGCAAGCAGAAGGAACTCAGTAAAAACATCTGAGTCCGAGTACATCAAAACCACTAAGCCAGTGCGCAAGACTTACCGATCAGACTTGCAAGAACAGAGGTAACCTGAGTGTAATGTGTAGACGTGCGAACTCAGGGATGGGAATCAAGTCAACTAAAAGCATGCCTGGGAAGGCAGGGAACAAGCCGAACTTGCTAAGCAGTCATAACCAGCGAGACTTATCATTTCCTAAAATTTAAGCTTTAATGCACGTTTCAATTTTCCTTCTCTCTTCTGGGGTTTTGGGGTTTTGGGGTTTTGGGGTTTTGGGGTTTTGGGGTTTTGGGG